TACGGGTAAATTAAGCAACAAAGATATTTTACTGAAATATTTCATATGACGATACAAAGGTTCATTTAAAGTACTAAACATTTAACCCTTTGTACTCGAAAGGCGTCTTTCAGTCGCCATTTGATTTGACCTATGGAAATGATAAAATTTAGAATTCAGTATTAAATTTTTATATAATACATGAACACATGGAACATCGAAATAAAATGGTTCTGTTACTTAATTTATGCAAGGTATTTCTTTATGTTGGTTGTAAAACATATCATTGATATTTCATGAGAAAATAATGAATATTTATCGAGAAAAATATTCTCAAGTGCAAAGGGTTAACTTCATAGTTTTGCTGTATCAAATCAAGAGTAGCTTGATTAGTAGCTTCTGTTTTCGCTTATTTAAGCAATAATTCAGCTTCATCTGCTCTAGGTTTCGTACATCTCAAAGAATCATCGTTCGAGGGTTAACCCTTTGACCTATGATTTCTGTCTCAACTCTGATCGATACGGCTACTTTGTCAATAATTTACTGGAAAGAGAGAAAAATTCTAAGCATATGTTATGCCTACATTTTCTTTTAAGTACAATATTTGATTACAGAGAAATAATATTCACTTTGAACTCGAATGAACCGAGTAATATATATATTTGTTAAATCATGTTGAAAATTTTCATGAGTCTTACTCGTAGGGCAAGGTGTTAATTATTCAGCGTTACAATGTTTACGTTACACTTATCAACTTAGTTACGTTATTAAACATTTCCATCCGACGTGAATCGGTTATCTTGCATGTTACGGTTGTCTATTCAGAATCGTCGTTCACCAGTGACTACGTGCTTCCAATCAAAACCGACTGTAAATATTCCTAATCGCTGCTACAAGAGATACATTCAATTCCTACGTAGTTCACTAAGAAACTCGAACGCGGAGAATAAAGAGAGCGAAGTTACTGCGACTGCTGCACCTGTTCGAAACTTCGCGCATTACGGCCGCTTCCGGCGAACTTCTCGTCGACTGAACCGCGACCGAGCGACGACGACAACGTCGACGACGTTGACGACGCAGAGGGTCGAGGTCGTCCGGCCCGGAAGTTAATAATCTGGCTTGGTTTCGCGGAAAATCCTTATCCGGGCATTGTTCGTCAAACACAAAAGCGTCCTCGGCACGGTATGCGACATCGCGGCGAGTCGATCAGCGCCGATCCGATACGGAGAAACCGATCTTCGCCCGCCTCCCCTCCTCGGAGATCGACGAACGGTCTCCGGCGAGCGCTATCGATCGACAGTCGAGACCGTCGAGGTGCATTCTGCGCTGATTACCGATTCCCCGAGGCGACGATCGGTTTCGAGTAGCTGCCGATTGAAAAGAAACCGATGGGCTTTTATTAGACGCGCGAAGTATCGGGGCTAATTTCGTCGTGGGACTCGAATAATCGAAGTTAATCGAGCGTAACGCGCGCGGGAATGGGAATACGGGTTGTGTGTGTTCGAAAAAAGCAGGTTGTTATTACCGGGATAAAGACGGCCGCATTGAAATACACGATTACAGAGGTGGGAGTCGACGGGGTTTTATTGTGTTCGAATAAGTCCCCGTTCTTTCGCGGGCCCGATTAAATGGATTATTAAACTGATTTCTCAATACATATAATTAATAACTTGTCGTTAAGTAATAGCTCTCTGTAACGCATTATTACGTAACGTCCCCTAAAGAGCGGCGGCCGGCTCAAGATCGTAATCGCCGCCGGTATTGAAAGATCGATTACGAAATCGCGAGCAATTAATTATTGGTTCACGGTTGTAACTACCATTGCTATCGAAAGATCACTTAAGAAATCCCGGCCAGTTAATTATCGATTCACAATTGCGCTGTCGAAAGCCCACTTAGGAAATCCCGAACGGTTAATTAACCGTGCCATCAAAAACTCGACGAAACAGCCCTGAGAAATTACGTTAAAAATCACTGCTTAATGGCTATCAACTGTTAAATATCCTCTCGCATCTGACATACTCACAAATTCAAAAATCCCCACCCGAATCATTAAACCTTTCCACTCTAACCCTCAGTCGCCACTTGATTTGACATCAAAATTATAAACTCACGTACGATATCAAACTTTCTACACGTCCGTGCATAACATATTGGAATGCAATAGCTTTATTTATTTATCTGTTTCTCAGCAGTCCTCCATATCTAATCGCTAAATATCGAATAACTCCAGTGAAAATCCACCAAACGGTGAAAGCTTCGTCCCTAAGAACGACTAACGAAATCCTGACAACTTCACCCCCAAAATTCTCAATTTCCACCGTCGCAGCCCACATCACACCGCACGTTGCAACGAACCCCATAACTTGTTCGTTTCATCGCATTTCTTTTATCGGAAAATATTGACTAACTCCAGTGAAAATGTTCCAAACGATGAAAGCTTCATCCCTAAGAACGACCAACGAAATCCTGACAACTTCACCCCCAAAATTCTCAATTTCCACCGTCGCAGCCCACATTACACCGCACGTTGCAACAAACCCCATAACTTGGGCGTTTCGTGGCGTGCGTCGTTCGGAAATCGATACAATGTATCGCCGGCCGACTGAACGACTATACACAGAACGCCCGAATGAAAAGCGAGCGAGCTAACAACGCGCCGCGACGCGACGCGACGCGACGCGACGCATCGAAGTCTCCAATACCCGGCGACCAAGAGACACGAACGTATGGGTGCATCGATGCAGCGTAGTCCGGGGCGGAATCGAAATTCCGAAATTCCATGCGCGCCGTGCTGTTATCTAACGCGACGTGTCCGTCGCGGCGGGCACGTAGCGCGCGTCGTCGTCCCTCTCGACGGTCGCGTCGTCGTTTTTCGCATTAGTCACCGGTCGGCCGGGGCAGGCCGGGAAGGCGAAAGGCGAACAAAACACGGCTAGACCAGTTGTAGGCGAGCGGGCAAGAGGCCGGCAGGTATACACGCTACGCGTACATTTCGTTCCGCTCGAGCGGACACCGTCCTCGCCGGCCAGTTGCCTAAACAACGAACGATTTCCAGGTAGAACGCGCCACAATCACCGGAGATTGCCAACCGTGCAACGTCGACGACGGATAATCTGCTCGTGACTGACGTCGTTTCGGGGAAATGGATAATTAAAGAATTTCGCGGCAGTTTTTCGAATTAGGATTGTATATGCAAGCATTCTTTGTATAGATGTGTTTTATTTATTGAAACTAAGTAGATAATCTACATGTGACTGTCGCTAGGAAATGTGGGATGGTGTTAGGTATTTTGTTTAGGTCTTTATACAAGCTTTGTATATCTGGAAGATCTAATAATCTTAAAGTAGCTTTCTTAAAATTTGTTAAAATATTCCTTTGAAAATATTCCTTTGGTTCCCAACTTTGACGTTGAAATGGCAACTAATTTTTATAGTATTCCTAACGAAAATGGGAAATGCTATACCATTCCTTCGATCTTTTATTTTCCTTCTCAATGCAAAATTTGGATGTGTGGAAAATCGATAATTTTAGGGTAGTTTCTTTAAGATTTATTAAAATATTTAATATTGTAACTGGTGCAATATTGGAGAGTTCAAAGGGTTAAACATTTAGAGTCCATGGGGATGTTACATTTCTAAGCTGATTATCTCGCTGAAACCATCACAAGTAGATTACCAACATAATTTCAATAAAAATGGAACATCCCCATGAACTCTAAGTGTTTAACCCTTTGAACTACACATTTCTAAGCTGATTATCTCGCTAAAACCATCACAAGTAGATTACCATCATTTCAATAAAAATGAATCACCTTTTTTAGTATGCATGAACGTTTGTGTTTCTAATAATTAACTAGCAAGTAGTTTTTCGTCTGCTTAATAGGAAGTTTCAATTTAAATGTGTAGAGACATGAGAACTTCGATTCTAATTTTTCCTTCTACAAATTGTTTTCGAATGTTGATTTGATATAGAAATCTAGGTTCCTATACGCAACTGTTGGTGCCGGCAACGGCGATCGGAGTAGCAGCGTATAGCGTAATGTTCGATGTCCGCGAATGACTTTCGCGAATCGATTTCCCCCACCAGTTCTCGCCTCTCTTCGAATTCGGTCGAAACGCGTGTTACGGTAGGTCGTTCACCGTGTACCCGAATCTCTCTCGCTCTCTCTGTTGGTTTTCATGCGTTTCCGCCTCCCTCTTCTGGTCCTGCGTATGAATTGCGTGAATCGATCGCGAAGATGACGAAGAAGAAGACGAGGAGCTGCCGCTAACCGTAAAATACTTCCTCGCGAACGCACCAGTACCGGAGTTACAGAAGAATGTACTCCCCACAGCGATTAATTAATTAATCAATTACCTTCGAGAATAAAACGACAGAAGGGCGTACGTTACGCCAGCTGCTTCAACATATCCACTGCATCGTACATCTGACGGCTCCATTTTCATATTACACTAAACATTTCCTATTTTCTAACATTCCTTACAAGACCCTTCGAAACCCTCTTTCTCCAAAAACCTCTATCCCAAAAAGTCCCCAAAAACCCGTTCCAGTCTAAGAAACCAGAAATACTGAAACCCAACGCAGAACACCATACCCGCATAATATTCCCACCGACAGTTCGACAGCGTAAATTCCATCGGCGTAGAATTCGCGCAAGACAAGTTGATCTGACCCTGAAAAAAGCCAAGCACACTTTCTCCCGTATCTCGTAAGGTTCTTCCATCCGGTGCGCGTTACTGCTCGGCAGGGAGCCCTTCGTGACAGGGACCCCGCCCTGGAGTCTCTCCCGAACCCCCATACCCTAACCAACGCACACCGCGCGCGTTGCTCTCGCTGGAGGCGGTGGCAGGCCAGGCAGGCAGGCAGGCAGGCAGGCAAACAGGCAAGCAAGCAGGCAAGCAAGCAGGCGGGCAGGCAGGCAAGCAGGCAGGGCTGCCACCATCCGGAACGAGAGAGTCCCGGGGTGCCGGGCTCGGCCGGTTACGCTCCTGGGCCGGCTCTCCCGTCTATCCCGGAGCTCATTCTTTCTCCGAGCGTCGAGCGGTGCGGAACAAACCGGAGCCAACAGCGAGCGTTCGGCCGAGGCCACGGTAGAAACGGGAGAAAACGGAGCCGCGTTGCGTCTCTCTCGCGGACGGGCCACTGGGACGCGGAAGGAACGAGGAATTCCTTGAATCCAACGGAAATCTCGAGCGTGCTCGAATCAACCTCGAACTTCGACCCCGGAGCCGGCCGAAGTGTGTTGCGCTGGATCGTCCGTGAACGGAGTTCCGCTTCTGAGTCTTCTCTGCGGCAGCCGAGGGAAACGCCAGAGGAGGATCCCGATCGTTGTTCGCCGACGAGTGACACAGGGTACGACGATTTCTTTCGCTAGTGAGAGGCCCCGCGGTCCACGGACTCCGAAACCGAATTTCGCCGGTCGGTGCGCGCGTTCCATCGACCGCGCCACGACTCTTCTCCTCCTCCTCCTCTCCGGGCGCAGCGACGCACGGGACAAAGAGAGGAGAGAGGCGCCTGTAGTCTCTCCCCGGCGCGATTCGGCGGGAACAAAGGAAGGAAACGAGCCTCCCGGAGAATCGTGGGGAACCTTGGTGAATTGCACGCGGCTTCGCGAGCGATCGATCCCCGCTCGGCGGCGATTCCGAGCACGGCGATCGTATCCGGCGCGCTTCGTACGCCTGCACCGTTCTCCGATTCCAGTGTCTCCGAATTAAGAAAAGGAACAACCGGGTCTCGTCACGGTTCTCCGGGGGTGAGTTTCTTCGTGATCCGCCTGAATTGTGCACCCGGTCGATCCTGTAAGTTCGTCGTGAGGCGACCCTGCTCGGCATCCTCGCGATCGCCGGTGGTGAGACGCGTGTACCTGTTGGTGAAATTTTCCTCTTCGGGGTGTGTTCGTGCGTCGAGGAAGAGAGTGGTAGGGAGGGTGAGACGGAGAGACGGGATAGGTAAACGGGCAAAAGGGAACGGAGCAAGAAGAACCGACGGAACGAGCCTGGAGGGAAAGAGGCGAAGAAAGAGGGAGAGAAGGACGGCGGAAGAGAGGCGAGAGACGGCTCTCTCTCTCTCTCTCTTTCTTTCTCTTCCTCTCGCTCGCTCTTTCGAGCCAGCAGCTAGCAATACCGTGTGGTGACAGAAAGACGGTCGGACGAACGGACGGACGGACGGACGGACGGACGGGACGGGACGGACGGACAGACAGACGGACCGACAGACGGACGCCGCTTGCTTCCCCTCCGCCAGCGTTCTCTCTCTCTTCAGTCGGTCGCGCGTTACCGAGCCTGCTGGATGAGTTCGCGAACGCGCTCCCGCTAAAAAGCAAATTTCTTCTCTGACCCGGACCTCCCGTTCCCGGCGGTACTACACCAACCATCGTCTCCTCTTCCGTGGCTGCTCTCCCTTTTGCCCGTGCAAAGGTGTTCGCCTAGTGTGTCAGTCAGTCAGTCGAAAGAGGTAGACAGCTTCCGATCTCCCGGTTCACCCTCTCTCCCTCTCGTGTCTGTCCAGACGCCAAGCATCATCGTCGTCGTCATCGTGTCGTCCTCTCTTCGTGCACTTCTTCGTCGTCATTGTGATCGTCGCCAGCCGCGCCTCCAAAGATTCTCCCCCCTGCCGCCGCCGCCGCCGCCGCAGCCGCTAGTCTTCTTGGGATAATATATATCCAGTGTGTTGTTCCCCGTGGCGAGCAAGAGGCGACGAGGGACCCGACGCTCCTCTCGAGGGAACATTCCGCCTCGACGCGACACTCACGACGCCCTCGACCGTCGAGGTGAGTACCTGCCACCCCCCGGACACCGGGTATCATCTTTTCGGGAGACTCTGCGCGCCTCGTGGCGATCGCCAACGGTTCGAGCTCTAGTGTCCAGGGTTCGCTTTCGAGACGCGAGTCTCTTCTGTAGGGTAGAGTTCGATAGCATCTTCGATCCTGGAAATAAAATTGCTGTCTTTGTACCGGGTGAAATTGGAACGTGATGAATACTGCGGAGGCCCGAGTCCTTCTAGTTTCGTTCTAGGAACAGTCTTCGCTGTAGTTTTCGTAGGTTTCGTCTCGAGTCTAGAAGGGGTATTTCGATGAGTTCGTTGAGACGGTGTCTTTCGCGGCGAGTTTTCGGCCGAGGGAACGGGGAAGGCACAGAGAGTCGGACGTCGGCACAGCGGCGGGATTTCGAGCGTGTATCCCGCGCCATTTTGAAGATGGGCACCATCAATCGATATAGCAGCCGCCGCGCGAGAGCCGGCTTTCCCCTCGCTCGTGGCGAGATTGTGGCTGGTCGGTCGTGTTCTCGGATAGGTTCCCGAGAGTCCGTGACCGGTAGTTGATGGATGTTTAAGTGAGATTGCTGCTCGATGTTCGGCGGAGATGATAGGGGTCCAATGGGAGAGAAGCCCCGCGCCTAAGGACGCGATCGCAGGATCGTTGGGAGCAGCGGCCGGTTACGCCATCTTGATTCCCCTTCTCTCCCACCACGGTCGGCCGGTATTAACCCCCGAACGAACGATCGACCGTGCACGCACGATTTCAAGACCCGCGACCGGTGACCTTTCCCTCCGGCCCCGCGATCCCATCGGAATCTCTTTCCAACGATCGTTGCACGCCTCCTCGGCGTTGCGCGTTTAGTGTGCCCCTGTAGTCGATTGTCTTCGCTGATTTTCGCTCTTGAGACCGTCACGGTGATTTCATTGATTGAACATTGTCTCCGGAACGGAATGAGGTGTCCTAGAGTGAATCATCTATTTCCTGAAACGACTTGTCCTAGAACTATCGATTTCCCGGAGTATAACAAGTGTCTAATAGGGTAGCAGTGACGAATCTTGTAACGAGCTATTTCCTAAGCAGAACTATCCCGGAAAGATCGATGTCTTTCAAAGGAATCGAGTATCTACCACGATAACATCAATTCAAAATGAATCATCTGTTTCTAGAATCATCCTAGAATGGTATATCCTAGAATGTCCTATCAAGTGTCAACCAGTAGGGTAGAATCGGCGAACCCGAGACGTGTTAGGACACATGTTTAGAGCGTGTCAGTGAAAAAGCACCGTGGAATAGAAACGAAACGAAAATTCCCGTCGAAACGCTTTGTCCAGCCGCAGATTTAGCCGCGTTCCCTTGTTACCATGGCAAAAGAGAGGAGAGGGATAGAAAGGAGATACGTTCTTGCCAACCCGGGTGCCTTAAACAGAGGCGACGTGTCTGCCTGCCTGCCTGCTCGCTCGCCTGCTCGCCTGCTTGCCCGGCTGCCCGGCTGCCTACAGTCTCTCTCTCCTTTGTGCCGATTTTGCATAGCAGGCCTCTACCTGCCGTGCATTTAAAACGCAGTCAAGGCTTCCACGGAAGCGATTGTTGTCGCTCGGGGAATGGCAACTGGTGGAGAAAGGCCGAGAAAATGCTGCTGCTGGCCTGGCTCTGGCTGGCCGACTGGTTGGTAGCTAGTGGCTGGCCAGGCCACTCTTTGCCTGCACCTTGGCCCGATCTTTTCTCTCCGACTGTCTTTTTCCCGGGTTCGTTTTCGTTACGCTCCCTTCTCTCGTTTCTTTCCTCCGTCAATGATAAATCAACTTCGTCGAGCTGCCAGGGAAACACTCGTTTACGTCGGGAAGGAGCAGCTGCTAGTTAACGTTCGTAATTTCGTAGTCGCACGCGTCTTTTCGCTGCACCGTTTCTTACGTTCATTTCCATTAGGTTCTCGTTTCCTCGTTGCCAGTGAACCGTCGACTTTGTCAAATCGTCTTCCCCCCGGGTTAACTTCCCTGTTCCGTCATTTCCGATATTACCATCGACTCCGTCGAATGGTCTTTCCCCCGGCTTCATCTTCATTACCCTCCCTCCTCCCTCCCGCCGTTCGCCTCCATTAAATCACCTTCGGGTTACTGGAAAGGACCTATCGCAGGAAAGAATCAGCTTACAGCTGCGACTCGCGCACAGAAAATTGCAGTTTCTCTCCGGAACGATGGAGGGAGTCGAAAGACCGCTCCGGGAGTCATCTCCTTGTCCCCCGTGTTCGCGTGCACCTGCGTTTGGCATATTGGTCAACGGTCGGGCCCGTGTTCCGTCGACGTTCCGCGATTCGCCACGCATCGCCGCCTCCTCCCTCCGCCCCCCGTCTCTCCCCGCGGCGCGCGTCGTTGCCTTTTTCCCTCCTCGCTCTCGCCGGCAATATCGGCGGCAACCAGTTTCAGGAACGGCGAGTCCGCGCGCCATCCACGCGATAACGGGTCGTTAACTTGCCCACATCTGCCTTTCTCTCGTTTACGGGAACGAAGAAAAGGAGCCGGTGCCGGTCGTGCCGCGCCGCGCCGCGCGCCGGACCCCTGTGTCCGCGCATGATGGAGGAGCGGTGTGCGCCTTCGAAACGCTCCGCGGCTCGACCGGTTTTTCGCGAGGAAACCGCTGCCCCGTGGCTCTTCTTTGGCTCTCGAATAGTCCCGTGGACGCTCCGCGTTTTCTTCTCTGCGGAATATGTTACTGTTATGTTGGGCAACCCGCGAGATTGCCGATCGATGAGTCATTGGGAGAAGTATAGGCGGCGATAGGATTCTCGGTTTATTGGGTGTGCTCGGAGGTTTCAACTGTTACTCGGATTTTGCTTTTCGAAGATCAATAGAACGGTGATTCCCAGAGATAGTTGCTTTTCGTGTAATGTCCTCATGTTTACTCGGCGAGGAAGCTAGATTTCCTGGTATCCGTCGAGTAATCCTTTTCCTGGGAAAAGGAGTGGCAGGCTAAATAAGTTTGCAGACCTTTCTAGATATAGCTCCGAATAGTGTAGAATTTTCAGCCATCGAACGATGCTCCGAGTATTAAATCATCTTATCTCCATCCTAGTCTCTCGAGTATCTTCGCCGATCGTCAAAGAGTCACCCTCCGCGTTGAACGCGGAAGTTTGCTCGAGTTTATCCTACATTAACCAGGGCCCGCGTTCCCTATCTCCTCCTGTTTACACGAGTCTTAGGAGATTTGGCCAGCGCAGGGACTCTGTCGCACGCTCCGCGGGCAAGGTCCGTTCCCGCAGTTGTTTACACGGGTTGGGGGTGCACGCGTGCTGCTGCAACCGAGAATAGACGCGTCGCACTCCGGACATGCGTGTATTTTTAAGACCATTCCAGCCGCGGACCCTGTACCCTATATCCTAGCCATGGCCACGCTCTTTGTCCGCCAGAATTTTTCTTACCGTCGAATCAGGGTTCGTGGAAGTCTCGCGAAGCGCGAGTGATCTGAAAATAATCTACCTCGCGAGACAAGATATCGAGCGGGCTTAATTGCTTTTGACTTCGAACGCGATTTATTGTTTGCGGTTACTTTTGTAACTTTGATTGGATCTTGTGGGTCTAGACGATGTTTCGTCTTTCAGGATTTGTAACGTTGCGGGCTGCTAGGAAAATTCGATCGTTGCGAACTGAATTTTGCCTGGAGCCAGGGAATCTTGAGATCTAGGGGTTAGGGAGACTAGAGATTTAGAGGACGCAGAGATCTAGAGAATTTAGAGATATAGAGATTTAGAGAGTCTAGAGATTTGGAGAATCCAGAGATCCAGACATTCAAAGAGTTCAGAGATTCAAAGAGTTCAGAGATTCAAAGAGCTCAGAGATTTAGAGAGTTCAGAGATTTCAAGAATTTAGGGATCTAGAGATTTCGAGAGTCCAGAGATCCAGAGATTTAGAGAATTCAGAAATCTAGAGATTTAGAGAATCTAGAAATCTAGAGATTTAGAGAGTCCAGAGATTTAGAGAATCCAGAAATCTAGAAATCTAGAGATTTAGAGAGTCCAGAGATCTAGAGATTTAGAGGGACCAGAGATCTAGAGATTTAGAGAGTCCAGAGATCTAGAGATTTAGAGGGACCAGAGATCTAGAGATTTAGAGAGTCCAGAGATCTAGAGATTTAGAGAGTCCAGAGATTTAGACAGTCCAGAGATCTAGAGAATCCAGAGACTCAAAAATCCAGAGATCCACAGATCCAGATACCCAAAGCAGTAAACCATTTTACCAAACTATTCTTACCGAGCATCAGCACCCCGACGCGCTTGGAAAATCGCCAGATCACCCTCTATTCAACAAAATCACAAAACACGTCAGAACGTTCCCTCGCCTCGATCACGAAACTCCGATCGCCATCACGCACGTGTGCGTACCGAACCAATACGACCGAGGTGTATCACGCATGCGGGACACGCGCCCGAATATACGGGCTCGCTTTTCGTCGCTCCTCGCGGACGGCCTCTCCCATTCTCTCTCTCTCCCTGGCACGCTCGTAATTCTCAATTTGGAGAACAGTGGGCCGCCGGGAGCAGATGTCCTTTTCTCGAGGACGAATTATTGACCTAGGCCCTGTCCGGCTGCCAGCCTTCGCCGGAATTAGCGTTCGCCCTGTGAAAATAATGGACGATTGATTCGGCACACACGGTATATACGCGTACACGGCGGCCTGTAGTCATTTACAGCGTGGGAATCACGAACAGTATTCTCTCACATTACCACAGGGGTGGGAAAAACCATTTTTTCCTTCCTCTTCCTTGATTGATATATGTTTTCTTAGTTGCTAATGGCTCAACGGGATGCAACTGTGCAGCTCGGTTGACCCAGTCCCGGCTGTTAACGCGTTTCAGCGATAGATCATGGAGTGGCCTTGATTCAACACGTCGCTCGCTCATTGTTATTCATAACACAACCATTTCCAAAGGGAATTTTCTATATTTACTAAAACACCTAAGTTACATATCATTCAATTACACGTTCTTTATATTTCTAAGTAACATCTCTAATGAAACA